ACATTTCACAGTCAAATCATAACAATTATTAATAATGCTCATCCAACTCAAGCCTCAGAAAGGATGTGGGTAATATCAACACTTCACGTTTCAGGGTCTTGCCACCTGGGCATCAACAATCTCACTCTTCACTCGGGAATAGAGTGTGTTGGGTTTTTGGTTTTTTTTTAAGAATATTTTTAGGGGGGGGCGAGGAAATAAGTGTGAGTGCAGGTATATGTGTGCAGTGGTGCAGAGCTGAGAGAACATGCTCAGGTGTCAGCCTTTGACTTCCTACTGTTTGAGGCAGAGTCACTTATGTACCATTGTGTTTGCCAGGCTAGTTCGCCTGCAAACTTCTAGGAATTCTCTTGTCTCTACCTCCCATCTCATTGTATGAGTGCTGGGATTATGCAAATGGTATATTAGTTATTTATTTGTTGATATTATAAAATATCATGACCAAGGCAACATATAGAAAGAAGAGTTTATTTGGGCTTACAGTTCTAGAGGGATAAGAATCCATCATGGCAGGTACCATGTCTGGACTATGTGAGGTCTGCAGATCTGAACTCAGGTCCTCGTACTTACACAGCAAGTGCTTGACTCACTGAGTCATCTCTCCAGACCCAGAATTTTTTAGTACTGATATTTTGGGGAAAATAATTCTTACGGGAGGCATAATTGAGCTTGCCTTGATATTTGGGGTAAAATGTATTTTCATTGAGGGGTGTCCTATGCATTGTAGGGTGTTTGTGACACTTCTGTGCCCCACCCCCTAGGAGTCAGTAGCATCATCCTCTTTTGTTAGCAGCCATGAATGTCTCTAGTCACTATAGATGTTTCATAAGGATAAAATCACCCCTGCCTGAGAGCAACTGCTCTAGGAGAGGCCTGGGACTCATGCTTGGAAAGACCTTGCAAAAATACACTTAGGCTCTCCCCAACAGCCCTTCTTAGTCCTAGACCCCTTCCTGCCACCAGAGAGCCCTAGATGAGTTACCTGCCCACAGAGTCAACATGCCCCTGCTTTGAGACCAGCCCCATTTGCACACTCCAGGGCTGACATCTTCTCGGTTTAGCTAGTCAGAACCAGCCCAGGGCCCTCCTGTCACCATAGACCCTCCTTGTGAATAGTCTCCTTCTAATTGCTGCCACTGCCAGAGAGCACCAGGCTAACAGGATGAGTTACCCGGATCCTCCCCTGACCTGAACTGGGTTACTGTGCCCCTGCTTTGGGCCAGCCCCATCCAGGCTTGTCCAAAGCTCACATTTTCTGTTTAGCCTCTAGTCAGAGCAGGCCCACTCGATTCCCATCCTCCTGACTTGGGCCTATGCCCCTTTGTCCTGCTGGAGAGCTCCTGGAACCCTGTGCCCCTTCCAAATAAAAAGCTAAAAGTGAGAACCTGAAGCACAGACCAACTAACTATTCATACCTGATTAGAAAGCAACCAAGCTACATCAACGATATAAACAAAAATCCAACTTCAACTAAACAAGGCAGGCTACGTTTTCATAGCAGACACACAACCAACAAAAGAAATCCATATGCCCAGGCCACAATGCAAAGACACAAATAATATGAAAAACCAAGATGATATAGCCCCACAAAACCCTACCAGTCCTCCAGAAGTGTACTACAATGAGAACCACCCAGAGGAACCCCAGGGCACAGAATTTAAAAGAACAACCATAAACATGATCGAAGAATTCAATGACTTTAAAGCACACACAAAGAACACGAACTCAAGGAGGATAGAATACACTTCTGAATGAGGCTCAAGAAAATACAAATATGTATGAATGAAATGACAAAGACAATTTAGGATTTGAAAAGTGAATTCACAAAAGAGATAGAAATATTGAAGAAAACTCAGGCTGAATTGAAGATGGTATTGAAAAACTCAGTAAACTAATTTGAAACAACAGGACACGAAACCTTGTGAGCAGAATGAATGAACTGAAAAATGGAATGTCAAGACTGGACTATAAAGTTGAGGAATTGGGCTAGTCCAGCAAAGAATATGAAAAATTAAAACACACACACATACACACACACACACACACACACACACACACACACACACAGGCACACAGGCACACAGGAATGGAATACGTAGGAAATGTGGGGCACCATGAAAAGACCAAATCTGTATTATAGGCAGATAGGAAGCAGAAGACTCTCAGGCCAATGACATTGACCAGATCTTCAACAAGATTATAGAAGAAAACTTCCCCAAATAAGTAAAGACATACCTATACAGATATAAGAAGCACGCAGAACACCAATTAGACAAGACCAGGACAGAAACTCCCCAGTAAAAACACTAAATGTACAGAACAAAGAGAGAGTACTGGAAGTTGCAAGAGAAAAACAACAAGTTACATATAAAGGAAAACCTATCAAATTACAACTGACTTTTCAGTCATAGATGCCAAGCCAGAATACCTTACCCAGCAAAACTATCATAGTCAAAGAGGAAAGAAAACTCTTCTATGACACAAATAAGCTGAAAGAATTCATGTCCACCAGACCATCCCTACAGAGAACACTCAGAACAATAAAAAGGACTGAAGAAAGAAATGATCATATCCAAGAGGATACAGAAAGAAAACAAATGAAGGTATAATTACAGAAACACAAAATAAGACTAAGAAAATAAAATAAAAGTAACCAATACACATCTTTCAATAATAACTTTAAACATCAATGGTCTCAACTCCCCAGTAAAAACACATAGGGTAGTTGAATAAATTAAGAAGCCAAGTCTATCTTTTTGTTGTCTACAAGAAACTTACCTAACCTTCGAGACTAGGCATCACTCTAGGGTGAAAGGATGGAAAAAATTCCAAGCAAATGATGCTAAGAAACAAGCACTATTTTTACATTTGACAAGGGATTAATTTCCAGCATATACAAAGAACTCAAAGAATCAAGAAAACAAACGACCCAATTAAAAAGTTGGGCTATGGATATGAACAGAGTTCATAAAAGAAGAAATAGAAATGACTAAGAAACACCTTAAAAGTGTTCAATATCCTTAGTAATTAGGGAAGTGCAAATCAAAACCACTAGGAACTCAGCAAAATGAAAAAGCTTCTGTATAGTGAAAGACACCATCATTTGAATGAAAAGGCAGCCTACAGAATGAGAAACAGTCTTTACCAGCTATACATCTGACAGAGGGTTATTATCTAGAATATACAAAAAACTCAGTATCAAAATAACAAACAACCTAATTAATAATTGGGGCAATGAACTAAACCGAGTTCTCAAAGGATGAAGCACAAATGGTTGAGAAATATTTTTAAAAAAAGTTCAAGTCTTTGGTCATCAGGGAAATGCAAATCAAAACCACTTTAAGATTTCATCTTACCCCAGTCAGAATGGCTAAGATCAAGATAACAAAAGACAGTAGATGCAGACCAGGATGGAGGGAAGGGGAAGGATCATTCACTGCTAGAGGGACTGAAACTGGTAAAACCACTGTGGAAATCAGTGTGAAGAACACTTTAAAAAGCTAAAAATAAAAATGAATGTACCATATAATCCAGTTATACCCCTCCTTGGCATATACCCCAAAGACCCATTTTACTGCAGAGATACGTGTTCAGCCATATGTGTTGCTGCTTTTTTTCACAGCAGTAAAGAAATGGATACAACCTAAATGTCCCTCAACTGATGAGTGGATAATGAAAATGTGGTACATTTACACAATGGAGGTCTACTCAGCGGCAAAGAAAGACAAAATCATGAAATTTTCAGGTAAATGGACAGAACTAGAAGCTGTTATAGTAAGTGAAATAACACAGACTCAGAAAAACAAGCCATGAATGTTCTCATTTGTGGATCTTAGCTCAAATTCCTTAAATACAAGTGTACTCTCACCACTCATCATAAAAGCTTCTTTTTGCAACAGATGGAGACTACTACAGAGTTCTACAACTGGTCAAATGCAGAGAATAAGTGTCTGTGAGATACCCATCCCAAAATAACACATCTACAGTGCAATTTCTACACCTGAGGTTCAGGGAACAGAGTGGAACAGGGAACAGAAAGACTATTAATGCATCTCTCAGTTCTCACCAGTGAAGTTTCTTCATGCAACAGATAGTAATTAACCCAGACAACCATAACTGGCTGAAGTGTCAAATATAAGAGACTGTGGGGTGCTTCTCCCTGGGTAAGACCTGTATCAAACCCCTGCCACTCAAGACTCAGGCACCATTGTAGAAGAGGAGACAGAAAGGCTGTAAGAACCAGGAGTGGTGGATGGCCACAAGGAAACAAAGTTTTCCAGGTGGCTGGGAAGTTACTCATATGTACTTACAGCAATGGTGACAGTATGTACAAGACCCACACAAATTCACACCAGACAAAAGCCCAGCATAGAAGTGGGAATATGGATAAGAAGCCCCAACTGTGGCTAAGGAATTATTGGCAGCCAATTACTACTGGTCGAGGAAGAGTTGGTTTTCTTTAAGGGAGTGACTCTAATTAGGTTGACTAGGATGAACTAGGGACATTTGGGGACACAAACATGGCTCAATACACCTTAATATATATGAAAGAATGCATGATATCTGGTCGGGGGCAGAGCTATGGGAGAGTGATGGATAGAGGAGGGGCTCTAAATATCAAGATGTATTGTATGAAATTCACAAAATTCAGTAAAAAACTCTAAGAAAAAATGCACCTAGGACATATATGCCATGGGGAGTCTGATGTGCCTGTTTCCTGAATTGGAGCATGTTCCACAGCTTCTGCACTAATGGAAGCCTGGGAGCATCACATCCTGGTTGGGGAGCAGGCCTCACTGAGTATCAGCAGTGTGCAGCACCAAAATAAGTAGAAAACACCCATACCAGATGCCACCAGTTTACGATCTTTCCTAAATCACTCATTCTTCACACAGGAAAGCAGAGGCTTAGGGAGGTTAGTTTGCATGCACATCTATGAAATGGCATCATTCAATACTAGAAATAGGGTTTAAACTCAGTTCCTTGGTGCCAGACTTTACCTTTCCCTCATGATCGTAGAGTCTATGGCGCAACTCGGAACGGCATTTCTGTTTGAGGGTGAAGCAGCTTCAAAGAGGAGACAATTTCCCTTCTCAAGCTACTGGTGGGCCTATCTTCTTCCAACTTCACCCTTGGGCATGTCTCTGTGGGAACAGTGTAAGGGCTGTATGTCATCCCTAGGAGGTCTTACTACTCAGCCACAGTATCTGTGTTTCCCACTAGCAGCTTGGCCAGCTCCCTTTGCCCAATTCCACGCTAGCATGGTCACACTGTGACTGAAAGACAGCAACTTATGAGCAGACCTGAACCAGGTTTCCTTCCAGACTTTCCAGAGTCTGGGTCCCCGACTAATAAAGGCCAAAGCAGGCATGATTTCCATTAATGTTTGGATCATCAATGTCTCAAAAAGTTCATCTTTTGTTGGTCTGGATCATGGCTGATGACACTTCTGGGAGGCGGTGCTGGGACCTTTAGGAACTGAGGTCTATGGAAGGAAGTTAAGTCATTGGAAAAGTGCTCTTGGAGATACTGAAACCTACCCTTCTTTTGCTTTTTCCTTCCTTCTTTGTTTCTTTCCTTCCCCCCTCTTCCCCCTCTTTGCCTCCCCCACTCTCTCTCCTATAAGGTGATGAGCCTTGCTCTTAGACATGATGTTTTGCCTCACCACACACCCAAAGCCATGTTACTAAGCAACAGTAACTGAACCATGTGAATCTATCTTCTAAATAAATATTTCCTTCTTTTAATTAATTTTTTAAAATATTTCATTTTTAATTTATTTACCTCAGGTATTTTGACATAGTGACAGAGAGCTAATATAATCACACTCCACAGATGTTCTCTCTTTGGCACAAGATTTTGAGTATACTCTCCTCCTTAAGTGGGTCAAGAGATGATACCTCATGAAGTTCAGGGCTCACATCCTATGGGTTTTATGAAGCTCCTGTACTCAGGAGCATGTCCCCAGGGGGATATGGTAGGCACTGGTTTCCCTTATTTCTTCACAATTTTCAACCCATCTAGCCCAGGATACACATCACAGCTGCAAAGTCAAATTCCTTGATAATTGTCTGATCATTTAGTATCTTTCATAGATCCAAACAAATTCCCTTTACTAAATTCATGGATAGATGGAAACATGAAAGGAAGATGAAAAGATGACTCATGGATAAAAGGCTAGATGGACACAAAGATGGATACATGAGAAGGAAGGATTAACAAGCCCTTTACTTTACTTGAGCTTACCTTTCTCATTTGTAAATTCCAGTTATAATTCATTCAATGATTATCTGGCTTTTAGGAAACACTGGTGGGAGATTATATACCGTTTTAAAAATATATTTTTATTTATTTTATGTTATTTTTAAATATTTTATTTATTATTTTTATTTTATGTGTATGAATGTATTGCCTGAATGTATCTAGGTACACCTGTGTCATGCAATGCCCATGGAGGTCAGAAGAGGGTGTCAGATCCCCTGTAACTGGAGTTATGGACAGTTGTTAGCCAGCACGTGGGTGCTGGGACTCAAACTCAGGTCTTCTGCAAGAGCAGCCAGTGCTCTTCATCACTGAGCCATCTCTCCAGTCCCTAAAATATATTTTTAGATGGTTATGGTGTTTACACACTTTTATCCCAGCACTTTGGAGGCTAAGGTAGGAGCACCACATGGTCAAGGCTATCCATGGCTACAAAGTGAGATCATGTCTCAAAAAATCTAAGTAAGGTTAATCCAAGTAGGTAGGGTGAAGACTAAATACAAGTTGAAATTCTTGTTTTTATGGAGCTGCATGACACCATGAATACTAACACCACAGACATGTGATTTTAAAAACTGCTTTCTGAAAAGCTTACACGTAGAGCACAAAATCGTTTGCTTTTTCCAGGGCTTGTCCTAGAGCAGTTTACCCAGCAAGAACACTCACACTGCAGATGAAGTATGAGCTCATGGTCCTAACGGGATGGTCAAATCATTCAGCCAGCGTCCTCCTTTTCTTAGTAAGCTCATATGAGTGTCTACTTCAAGAAGAGACGGAGTCAATGAGATGTTTATAAAGCTCTCAGTAAGGTTTGGCCTCTAGCAAGCTAGCAAGCACTCAACCAAGAATAGCTATTATTATTCTTCACTTTTCTAAACAATTCACCACTTCTTGAAACAGCGAAGGTCATTTATGAATTTTATAAAGGGTTTTTATTTTAAAATTATACAGAAGAAAAAAAGCTGCCTCAAATCCCACCACTTATAATGATTAAAGAAGTGGACATTATACCCTCTTCTCCAGTCTAAGCCTCTAGTTACTAAAACATGTGTGTGTGTATGTGTGTATGCATGCATGTATGTATGTATGTATGTATGTATGTATGTGTTATATGTGGATACCAGAGGTCAACCTCAAGTGCCATTTCTCAGTTGCCATCCACCTTGGTTTTTTTCAGACAGGGTCTCTCACTGGTCCGGGACTTGCCCAATAAGCTAAGCTGGCTGGCCACTGAGCCCTAAAGATCAACCTGTCTCTGCTTTACCAGTGCTGAGATTATATGTGCTGTCATGCCCATCTTTTCATGTGTGTTCTGAGGATCAAACTCAGGTTCCCATGTCTGACTTACAATCACTTTACTGACTGAGCTCCCTCCCCTGCCCAACTTTTTGTTTGAATGTTTGGTTGGCTTTTGTGTTTTGTAAGGTATGTGCCACCATGCCTGGCCTTGTTTGTTTTTGAGGCAGGATGTTAAACTGCAGCCCAGGCTAGCCTGGAACTCATTTTGTAGCCAAGTATGACCTTGAAACCATGATAGTCTTCCTGCCTCAGCCTCCTGAATTTGGGATTAATAGGCATGAGCCACCACACCAAGCACTCTGAAACACTTTTTAACAGACTCTTTTCTAACGTTTTTTCTACACATTATCACCTTATGTGTATGTGTATATATACACAACTTTTTTCTAATTTTAATTTTTCAATTGTTGTATGAGTATATATTCTACTTTGTGCATATTTCCCCACACTTCTACCCTCTTTACCCTCTTTTCTTGCCCCTCCCCACCTCTGTTATTATTGGTCTCCTTTGTTCCCCCTTGAGAGTTTCAAGTCTATTTTTATGTTATATATACATATATGATTTTATGTGTCTTATGAAATCTAGGAACCAAATGTAAGATTTTTGAGACTGGCTTAATTTCCTTAATATGATTATCTGTAGTTACATTCATTTTCCTGCCAATACATAACTTCATTCTTTACGGACGAAGAAATTCTGTTGTGTAATAGTCCACGTTTTTCTTATCTCGTCCTCTGCTGTTCGACACATAGCTTAGCTACTGTGAATAGTGCTTCAGTGAACAATGATGTCCAAGTTTCTCTGTGACACATTGGGCTGGCAGCCTTTGGGTAAACACCCAGGAGTGGTATAGCTGGGTCTTATGTTAGATCTATTTTTAGTTGGTTTGAGAATTCTCCATACTGATTTCCAGAGTGGCTGGACTAGTTTCGTAACTGCTAATATCATAAAATTGGTTTAATTCTCATGCCTACACATCACCCAAAGAAGAACATGCTTCTCAAATTCTGGCTGTTGGAGGAAGGAGGACCCATTTTTCATCCTGCCTTTTTGATTTTAGAGTCTTGTCACTATAGGAAAAGTAAAACTGGCCTCCTCTACCTGCTAACAACTTTCCTTTCCATTCAGACCCTTTCTCCTGTGTGCTGCCTGTGTTGTGCTCCTTGCAGAAAGGAGACAGGAAGGCTGAGTCTTCATTGTAGAAAGACACATACTACCCCCAGGAAAACTAAAACAAAAGCCCATCAAGTCAAAAGCAATCCATTTTTATAAGCTGGTTACTGAAAGAATTAAAAACTCACAACCTTGATCATAATTTCTCATCTATTTTCAGTTGTTCTTGTTTAAAAGATTAAACTCCTAAGACCAGCACCTTAATGTCTCCAACCACCACTGACTGTTTCAGTTCTGTGCCCCACCCCCCGCCCCCCAAGTCTGGTCCAGCAATCCATTCCTCATCGTCCCAACACACTGCATTCCATCTCACTTCCCAATCTGCTTTGTTCGCTCTGCCTTCCAGTCCCCAGCTGAGTCCTATGAGGCATTTGGGACTTAGCACAAATGCCACCACTCCAGGAAGCTGTGACTCTAACAATTGTGTCTCTCTTTTAGATTCTTTTAATATTCATAATGCATCTCCTGTTCAGCATGCATTGCCACTGTTTGCATATATATGGCTTCTGTCCTTTATTAAATTATTGAATCCTAGAGGACAGGAACTAGATCACATAGGGTATTTTTAACAATCTAATGTACTCCACACATAATAAGCACTTAATACATATTTTAAAACATTGCACTAACTTACGAGCATGACTTGTTGCCACACTCCTCATTTTTTGATGAGTGTTTCCTAGTTTATCCAAATAAGCATCTACTTGATAGGATTTCCCATGTTCAGAAGAGCAATGAGTGGGGCAGCTTCCTTAGACACAATACTCACAACCTCCATTAAGGCTGGCACAGGCATGAGATTAGGGGGTGTAGTGGCTATGGTCCTCCATCAAAGGGACAGAGGAGCCTTGGGAGACTCTTCCTTGATTGTTCTTGGAGAGATGTCCTAGACCTGTGACCCAGGAGATCTGAAAGCTTCTTGAGGTTGGAGTCATGCCCTAGCCACATCCCAGCCACTTCTCGCTAATCTCTCTTTTCAGCCCCTCCCACCGGCATCTCCTTCTTTAGTGCTCACTGCCCAGTCACCTGCAGAGCCAGTACTCTCCCTCTTCTGTGGAAGTCCTGTGCTGGCTGAGGATGGGGACCATACTCCAGACCTGACCTCCACACTGGGTCCTCTGAGCATGACCCTCAGAAGGATGCCCCATCTGCACAAGTGAATCTGTGCTCATCTCTCCTATCGACATGGTCACTCTGCTTTTCTCCTAGTTCTGGAGGAATTCTTTGAGAATAAAGAATTTATAAATGACTGTGTTCATTTTGTTGCTCTCCACACAACTCTGCTAATGGGACAAATATTCCATCCACCACCATCCCAAAGCCATTGCTTAGGAACTCAAGCTGAATGAATGGAGCCTCACACAGTGCAGTCCTAGATAAGGGTCC